CCAGAAACCCAAAACTAATTTTTCCATTTTTTCTGAAAGATTAATTTATCGAACGCCAAAGCATGTTTCCTCGTAATTCTAGGAGATGGCTTTTCATCTCCTCGTTCTGCTCTATTTGACATTCTTCAACCTGTCCATGTCCCAGCTTGATTCTCACTGGGCAGCTAAGAGAAGGCACATGAAGGAGAAAGTACGCCAGATGTAAGCAACTACATCTTAATCACCCGTTTGATGTTTCAACCTTAATTTCAAAACCTGCTGAATTGCTTTTTTTTTTTTATTAAAAAAAAAAACGCTTTAATGGATAATCATTTTAAAGTAATGGAAACATGTATATGCAATACTTAGTTTATCAATCTCAATTTTTGAAGGGAACTAAAATAGCTAGCTTGTCAATTAAGATGCTGTTTTTATTTTGAGCTTTGCTCTTTTTTATTGTTGTGTTTATATCAATTGAAATGATTTTTTCAGTTGTGCACTTTTTTCACAATTGGGTTCTGGGTTTGTCGATTGCTTTTGAATCGTAGAAAGGGGAGTGCAAAGGTGTAATTTCCATAATAGATTGTTTGCTTCGAGGGATCTAAATTATTCGGCTATGGAATCTACGAGTCGACTACAACTATGTAGCATTCTTCAGTTGGTTGAGTATTGCCAGTTTTTCTATTCCCAGAATCTTAGTATGGCAAGTTTTGTTGCTTGGGTCATGATTCCTTCAGATGAAATTTAGTATTATTAGCATCCAATTATTAGAACGGTGGGAAACTAGAAAACTAAGAAAAATTAGCCAAAAGAACAGAACTTATTTCAATTGTTTCCATTGAATAATGAATATGTGTATATAGACGTCCCCCATATAACAGCAAAGCGTCTAACAAATACACGCACTTATACGAGTACATTAAAAACAAAAATAAATTAATAAGTGTCTAATTCTCCCCCTCAAGATGGACAATGTATCTGTTTGATATCCATCTTGGACAGTAAGAGATTTAGAACATAGGAAGGAATTCCTTTAGTGAATATATCATCAAGTTGATGCTGTGATCGGAAAGTAAAATCTTAACCAAGCCTTGAGTGATATGATCACAAATGAAATGACAATAAATCTCATTGTGCTTCATCCATTAGTGAAACACCGGATCAGAAACAATATGGATAGCTGTTTGACTATCATAATAAATGACTACAGGTGAGGGACATTTCACTTGAAAGTCGAAGCTGCCGAATCCAAACCAGCTCACTTGTAGTAGAGCCAGGGGCCCTATATTCAACTTAAGGATCTTGAAATAGTGGTCTGTTTTTTAATTTCCAAAATCAAAGAACCACCAAGTAATACACAAAACCCAAACAAATTCCAG